CATTGTAGTTCCTTTTTGGGGGCTACCTCATAAAATCCTTAATATATACTTGGCTAAGCCGAAGCAAGGAACTACAAGGGAGACTATAGGTAGTTCTCAGCTCTAGTTCATGTGGATGTCTCCCGGGTTTGGGTTGCCCTGCTGGTGCGGTGTATATATATATATATATTACTAACATCGACGAATATATAACATCCTAAACCCTAAACCTTAATTCAAGTGCAGTCTCGACGTTGAAGTTGGAAGCATCGCGGTTGAGATCCCGTTCTCGCCTGGCCCACGGCTCTGAACCGGAAATAACTACACCCGAAATCCCAGAATGAGGGTTTAAGAGGTTTAGGGTTTATAGGGGTTCGGGTCTAGGATTTAGGTGTTCAGGGTTCAGGGATCACGAAGCTCATGCGACTTGCGTGAATCCCGTTCCTCATCTGTCTTCGGGTCGCTATCGGAACAGCGAGTGATTACGAGGAGGATTACCGCATCTTCAGTTCAAGCGCACAGTGGTGAAACTTGCCGGAAGCATCAGCCCACCAAGCTTTTAGCTTGCTTGGACCGAGGTCGTGACAGTACCTTGCACCGACAACTACACACAGTCCTCGCTCGACATGCTCTGGAAGATCCGTTCCATGTCATCTGAGGACCCCCTCCTGGCACTGCTTCAGGGCTCCGTAGTTCCATCATTTCGGTTTCGGGGTTAGGGTCCCGGCTCCTTGGGGCTCAGTGCATGGTTCCGAAGGATCGCACTGGAGCGACTCTTGCACGCTCTCTTGGACCTCCTCCTTCGTCATTGACGCTCCTTCAGTTTTAGCTGGGTGTCAATGTGGAACGCCTGCAGCAACCTTTCGAAGCACACGCTCGACCGTTACCCCTAGCACTGCCTTCAGGAGCGACACCAAGAGTCAATGACGACGACTAGCAACAGTGACAGCATTGACTCGAACACAAGCACCCCAAAACCAGCCAACAGCAACAACTACAATATCATCGACAGCAACCCGAACAGCGGCAGTAACAACGGCAGAAGTAGCAGCAACAGCGACAACAGTAGCACGAGCAACAACAACACCATGCATTAGACTACAAGCCCCACCCGACCTCGACAACAACAGCTCACATCATCATCAGTTTTGGCGACGGCTGAACAGCTTTGGCAATTAAGGCACCGGGAACAACAGGAACACCAGCAGCAACTACACCATGAGCGACAGTATCAAGAACGAGCTGGGAGGAGATACACCGGCGACAAGAGGCTATGCGGAAGTGGAGTCACGTGTTGGCCTTCCGCTGGGATGGTTCTGGGCCAGATGCCTTCACTGTTGCTCGGCTGCATTCCGCAGAGATGACTTCATCTCCAACCGCATGAGACTTTGGGAGCCTCACCAGGGCATATCAGCATCGACCGGACCTGGGCAGGGTGGCATTTGCGATGCAAAGCTTTGGCCTTCGCTGTCTGGGTCCTGCACCGCAAACGAATCGCTGCAAGGGTTTACGTAGTTGGTGTGTTTGAGAATGGAATGGTGAGTCATGTCCCCAACAACACCGTTTGCGGAAAGACATGATATTAATATAACAATGGTTTTTGTCGCCCCTCGCTTGGCGTGCGTGACGCGGGCTCCCTCAACCTGACGCATCCACTCGACCTTGCTTGGCAGCCGGGTGTTCGGACAGGATCATCACTTCGCTGCTCGAGGTTTGGTCGAAATAGGGGTGCCCGGTGCAGCTGCAAGAATGCAAGCCTGGTTTGAGAATCATGCCGCTTTCGACTGCAACTGGCAAAATTAAAATGTCCCGCAAAAGTTCTTAAAATCCTGGATCCTATGGCCCAGGTTCCCCTCAGATCGGAAACCCCCCTTTCCTGGTTGAGACTTTGTGGGACTGACGGCTCGAGGTTCATTTTGCTGACAGCTGAGGCTCTCATGCAGCAGATCGGAGTGATCTGGTCAAGAATCAAGCAGCGCCAGAAGAAAAAACAAATCACAGAAGCACCCGACCTCAGCCCAAGATGGAGTCGCTTCGCAGACGATTCCTTGCGTGCTAAGGAGGCTTCTCTGCTATTGCGAAGATGATGGTGATGGCCTTGACAGCTGGTGATGGTTATGCTGATGCTGCTGATGCTGGTAGTGTTGCTGATGCTGCTGGTCATGGCCATACTGATGATGGTGACGAGGTCGATGCCATTTGTTGTCGTCCTGGCCTCGGTACAGCTCTCCTTGCTGATGTGAGCCTCCCTACTGTCCCGGTAACCTGATAGTACTTCTGACACTGTGAGGCCAAGAAAGGTCTTTCTCGGAAACCGAGCTTTGAGCTACCACTCTTGCTGCCTCTATCTATCTATCCATCTATCTATCTATCCATCCACGTATATGTTTGTTATTGTTAAGTTCAATTACAACCCTAAGCCCTAAACCCTAAACCCCTAAGCTTTCATGCATTCTGCCCGTATCTGCTCTTCGGCTGGGTCCCACGTGACAAGCAGGCTCACCCTGTGCAGCCACGGAGGCTCTGAACTCGCGGAGAGAATCCCCAAAGGGACACTTTCTCTAAGGTAGGGGCCTAAATTTTATACCAAGACTATTTTGGGGGGTTCTTTATTACAATTATAGTATACTGGGCCCCAAAACCCTATTTTAATTATGAAGGCCCCTATATTAACTTTACACCATGCCTGAAGCCCTAGACATCCGTCAATCACGCTCCAACTGATCTCGAAGATCAGCTGCCTAAGCCCTACTTTCTACAGCATTCTGGGAAAAGAGACCGGTTCCCCTAAGCTTTCTTCCCAAACCCTAAACCCTAATCCCTACTCCAGCAGCTCTAAACTTCGCTGTCGCTTTGGAGTTTAGAGACACCGTCACGGATTTCTGCTGGAGCTGGCGCGTGGCCGGGAAGTCAGACACCCAAACCTCCAAAAATGAATTGCCATGTCCGAGCTTAGCAAAACCCAAGAAACAAAGCCTTATAACCCGTTCAACTTTCAGCCTTACGTAGCCTGAGCCCTCAAAACTCCCTAAGCCCTAAACCCTAAATCCTTAATTTTCATCCTTAAAAAACCCTAAATCCCCGAATTTCCATCCTTAAAAGAACCCCAAATCCCTAATTTTCATCCCTAAAAAACCCTAAATCCACAATTTTCATCCTTAAAAAACCCCAAATCCCCAGTTTTCATCCTTAAAAAACCCTTAATTTTCATTCTGAAAAAAACCCTAAATCCCTAATTTTCATCCTTAAAAAACCACCTAAATCCCCAATTTTCATCCTTCAAACCCGGGATCTCGCCATGATGCCGGTGTCTCGCTGCCAATGCCAGCGATGCAGCGCCTCTCGTCGGCAGTTGGAGAACGGTCTCGCCATGAACATGTATACACATAATATGAGACATATAACTATATATATATATATAAGAGAGACATATAACTATATGTAAGAGAAACCTTTCTGTAT